GAAAAGAAAGTCTATTTGTAGTTGAGCTACTTGTTCATACGCAAAGTAGTGGAAATTAAAGGGAAGAAATACACAACTTTTCTCATGAGGTGATGTATAGAGATATGCTTCTTTATTCAAAAAAAAAAAAAAAAAAAAAAAAGAGGAAAAATTTATAAAAACGTTGGTCGATGATAATCTTTTTTTCCGACTAACCAGGTCCCTTTCAGCATCTGCTACCGACAAGTTGACCGACTTCCATGACGTTTCCGGTGGGGCATCGAATAATGTCGTCCGTCCATCTTGTCTTTGTTATTTGATCCCTTAAACGGATTGCGACAGGCGCTATCAATTTATTATTTTACTGCTTCTTGAATAGCATTCCTATAGCGCGTTTACTAGACGTGCCTTCACGCTACGTGGGTGGCCTGAATTATTATTATTATTATTTATTTTATAAAAATAATGCTCACGGGCCACAAGTAATTTTTAAAAGAAAATATAAAAAAATAAGATTGAGAAATAAATTAAAAAATTAACCTCAATCAATTTAAGTTAGTACACTAAATATGTTACCTGAACAACCAAGGAATGCTAATTCGGGTTAAACCATTAAATTTACAATTCAAGTTATAAAATTAAAATTAAATGATGAAATTAAAGATAAATAAAAATTTTATAAAAAAATTATAAATTAAAAGAATAAGCATCAAATTTAAAAAATCAATAATATATTACAAATTAGGATTGAATGATGAATTAAAAACAAATTAAAAATTTACAAAAGGATCAAGAACCACAAAATAGAAATATAAAGAATAAGAACCAAATTAAAAAAAAATATCACATTGAGTTTGAATAATGAAATTGAAAACAAATAAAAAATTTATAAAAAAATTAAAAAAATCAAAAGAATAAAGACCAAACTGAAAAACAATTACAAATGAGATTTAAAAGATAAAATTAAAAAAAATAAAAATAAAAAAAAATTACAAATTAGATTTAAAATATAAAATTAAAAAAAATAAAATATTTATAAAAACATCTTACACGTGTTGGCATCTAAGTAGCATATGCCAATAACTTTTCTATTAAAATGTTATTTTATATTTATTAAAAGTAATTTTCTCTCAATAAAGTTTATAATAACAAGAAAAATTATAATAAAAATACGAAAAAGCTCCTGCACACAAAATTTTAAAAATTTTCCTTCAAGGATAATTGAGTCAAATTACTTCATATAAAAAGTGCAATGAATAAAAAGTCCTCAAATGTAAGTTCTATGAATTTTTCTTGCAACGATAAATGAATTATTCCATTGTGTTTAAAAATTAGAAAAACAATTTTATCATTAATTAATTTGGTAATGACCATTAGCCTTGTAAAAAAGCTAAAATACCAATAACATCAAGCTATTAATTTTTTTGGATGGGACAAAACGTTAATGATTTCCCCTTCATTTTTAGTTTTGGTTTTGGTTTTCATAAAAAAAATATATGTTTGGATTGAAAAGGAAAAAATAAATTGAGCATCCTTATGTTTATAAATTCATAACACTTTACATCCTTACATTGGCATGTTAAAGAAAAGCCAATAAAAAAAATTAGATTATTTTTATAATTACCATTATATTCTATTTAATGATTTTTAAGCTCTTGTTGTGTAAAACTAACAAAAGTGTTACTGAAGTTACAATTGTTTATTAAAAAAAAAACTAGTCATTAAAATAGCATCATTTACATATTTTTAACCTGAATCCTAACCATCATTTTCCACAAGCAATCATTCTTGACAACAAAAAATTATAGCCACATTATCAATATAAACACATCATTTGAGCACAAAAAATCACCATCGTATTCTTCTCATTCTTTCCCTTATATTACAACTTAACAATAATATATTCTTATTTTTTTCACAACAATTCCAGTAAACATATCTCTTAAAATTCACAATGCTATAAAATTTGAAGGCACACATATGGCCAAATATTTTAGCACAACAAGCACGCATATTATAAACTCACAACAACTTTTATGAACTAAAGTTCAACAATAATACAAAAGGGCATGAAAAGTGAGAAAAGAACAATTGTCAGAGATTGAAAATAAACGGTAGTAAAAATAAGTTATTATAGAGATATAGTTATAGGTCATACAACAATATCTTCATTGATTGGTAAAAACTTATAAATAAAATTGAATTAACCATAGAAGGGAGAAATGACGCTTATGATGTTGAGTTAATATTTGATGAAATAAAGAAAATGAAAGATAAGTCACAAAGAGTTTACATTAAGAATCATTACATCAAAGTTAGCTTTGTAAGTGTAAAATTTTTATTCCTAGCTAATTAAATGTATTTGATGGTAATATTTATAACTATTATATTGTTCATGTTGAACAAATGAAATAAAATACATTTATTCTATAACAATCTCAATTTTCTTGAATTAATATAAATTATTATTATTGTTGTTGTTGTTGTTGTTATTATTTCTACTGAAAATTAAGCAGGATTTTTTCTATATTTTCAATACAAAATTATTGATCCAATATAACAACTTGCTAACAGTCTAAATATCACTTGTCCCACCATCTAGAACTCCCATAATTTAATCATCACACCAACATTCATTTTCTTCAACATTCATGCAATAAAATTTAGTAACATATTTTAAATTACAACTAAAAGTGAATCAAAATCTTAAATGGATGAACCTTCAAAATTATCACAATTTATGAATACATATAAAAGAAACAACTTTCTTAATTACAACATTCATAATTAAATTTGATAGATAAACACAATATAATTACAAAATTATATTACAACAAAATTAGTCTTTTCAAATTTCATTGGTTTAATTTTACAAGATATATATACTAATAAATCTACTTCTCTATTTGATACTGGGAATAACTTGAAAATTATCTACAATAGGTGTTATTAGCTTTTAACTCATTTTTTTTAGCTTTTACAAAACTGAAAATTATTGGCTTATTAGTATAAAACACAAATTTGATATCACCTTCTCTTGCATAAAAATTTAGTTGTTTTCTTAATTTTTTCATATAATGATTATCATTCACACTTACTTTTTTTACTCATCGGGTTTTATTTCTACTCTCAACCGGTTTAGTTATTGATTTAGAATTAGTTAAATTTAATGACCTTCTTTCACCATTATCCTTACATGAATTTTCTCTCTCTAACCCTATATTTTTTTTCAATTTTAATTGATCATTATACACTTGTTTTGAAAATAGATGTATAAGAGTGATAGTTTATCATCTTCTACAATAGTGTATCAATTTCTAAATCTATTATGAGTGGTCTTTCTATCAAACTACCTTGAGCGCCACAAAAGTAAGTGACTAGCATGTATTAGAACCACATCACACGTAACCTCATCAAAATATTTACTAATAGCAAAAGAAATTAGCGCCTGTTTAGTGGTTTTCATATCAACACATTCATTCAACCACTGCAATCTATAGGGCTTAAGATACTTCACAATATTCAAATTTAATTTTTTAACTTAAGATGCTTCACAATATTCAAATTTAATTTTTTAACAAGAGTAGTACTAGTTAAATTGGCACAACTACCTCCATTAATTATCATGTTACATACCTAGTTTTAGATGTGACATCCAGTATGGAAGATGTTCTCTTTTTATTGATCTACATTATTCTTTTTAACTTGTGCATTTAGAACTTGTCTTATAACCAAGGCCTCCCCCTCACACAAGATATGTAATCTCCACATTACCACAATCATTTAAAGGTGGCATCTCATCCACATTAGATTTGTTACTTTCAAATTCAATCTTATCATGCTTCATAATCATTGTTCTCTTATTTAGACAATGAGAAGAAAAGAATTCACTATCCGAGCACTTGAACATTTTATATCATGATTACACATAGGTTGTGAAGTAGTTATACCTTCCCCACAATAGACATCTCTTTCTTAGCTTTATGTGGTTAGGCCTAAGCATGCACAAAGAACATTGACTTGGTAGCCCTCTCTATCTTCAAATTCAACCTCTAAGCTAATAAAGAAGATACCAAACTAATATGTGGTTTTACGCTACTCTATCTATTAATTAGTCTCTTCATCTTTGTTATTATATGTACCATGTCTTTCAAATTATTATCCACCACAACCATCACTTGGTTATCAATACAACCACCATTTTATTAATATGTTTATAATCACTATTATTACTCTTACACTAGTATTACCATCACAACAATTGCCACCGCTAAAGTAATATTACACTATTATTATCATTATTATTATCACATCAATCATAGCTGCTACCACTACTTTTTTGCCAAAGTAATTATAATTACAAACATCATTTTATCACTATTTTCACAATTATCATCAATTAATATTATTAAAATCATTATCATAAATATTATTATTATTACTGTTATTAATATTATCATTATAAATATAATCATTTTTTTTATTTTATTATTATCACCATTCAAAAACCATTCACATAATAGGAAATAACCTTTTTTAAAAAAAAAAAAAACAAAAGAAGTTTTCTGCAAAACAAACGGACCCTATAATTACTGAACACACGGTATACAACACAGGCCAACAAGGAATCCTATGCCGATCCTGATGTCTGAGAATCAAAGAAAATACAGACAAAACTCATCTCAAAATTCACCGGGCCCATCCCACAAGATGACCAAAAGACTAAAAACTCCATTAAAAAAAGAGATAAAGCAGACAGAGAAAGGAAGCCAAAATTTCCCCACTGTACTCGAATACGGATAGAAATATCGGTGTTCCACGTCACGCATCAATATTTTTATTTTTTATCATCAAAAATTCATTTAAACAAACAAGTTTTTCTCTTTTTTTTAATATATATTTCAGATATATTCATTAAGGTCGCTCTCGGAAGATGAATGGTCGCTCTCAAGAATCAAATCACGAGGGAAAGTTCATCAACTTAAATTTCTACTAATGATCATCTATTTGCATATGAATTAGAATGTATAGTAATTCCAGAAAATTTACCATACTAATAGTATTATAGCATAAGCATGTTTAATTTTGAAGTTCTTACAGTATCCGAAGTGTTAGGCTGGACAAACAAGTCTGATTTTATACAGAACTTGGTCTCCAAAGCTAGCTCTGTTATGGTTTAACAGCTAGTGGTACTTTCGGGTTGGTGAGTGAGGCTCGAGTTCATCTTTTGGATCAGTTAAAGGCAAGCCCTCCATGCCACCTGCAATTCGTAACTAACCTTATAAGCAATTTATTTGCATTTGAAGAATTGGAAGCTAACTTTTGGTTCATCAGAATATTCATCATTCATGTCTTCTTAAATTTCAACTGTTTTACCATGATCATTAACTACCTTTGCCGCTTAAAATCGAGCTTGAAGGCCCTGCAATTGGGTTCCTTTCGTTCACGTATTTCAACCATTAATACTGTTTCCATATCAAAGGAAGAAACTGTCATATCCTTTTTGAAGAACTGCTCTTGTATGAAAGATTTGAAGCAAATTCATGCCCGTATAATCCAACTTGGCTTTGAGCAGAGCCGTTTTGTTGTGGGCAAGGTCATTGTGTTTTGTGCTGCTGCAGAGCATGGAGATATGAACTATGCTGTTTCAGTTTTTGAAAAGATTGGTGACCCGGATGCTTTTATTTTTAATACGATGATTAGGGGTTTTGGCAAGGCTAATGACCCTCGAAAAGCTTTTGATTACTATAAAAGAATGCAAGAGAGAGGTTTAGTGTCAGACAGCTTCACTTTCTCATTCTTGCTAAAGGTTTGTGGCCAGTTAGGGTTGGTTTTGTTAGGGAGACTAATCCATTGCAGCACATTGAAACGTGGGCTTAATTCACATGTCTTTGTTAGGAACACCCTTGTTCATATGTATGGCACGTTTAAGGATATAGAAGCATCCCGCCAACTGTTTGAAGAAATTCCCAACCCAGAATTAGTGGCATGGAATATTATAATTGATTGTCATGTCTCTTGCGGTAAGTTCAATGAAGCACTTGACATGTTCTCAAGGATGTTGAAATTCGGCATAGAGCCTGACGAGGCCACATTCGTTGTGATCCTCTCCGCGTGTTCTGCATTGGGTGCGTTAGATTTTGGGAGATGGGTTCATTCTTGTATTAGCAATACTGGTCATGGGTGTATTACAGAGGTTAATAATTCACTCCTTGATATGTATGCGAAGTGTGGAGCACTTGAAGAAGCGTTTGAGATATTCAATGGGATGAACAAGAAGAATACAGTAACATGGAATACGATGATTTTTGGACTAGCAAGTCATGGCTATGCAAATGAGGCATTGGTTCTCTTTTCCAATATGCTAGAACAAAAGCTCTGGGCACCAGATGATATTACTTTCTTGGTGGTTTTGTCTGCTTGCAGCCATGGAGGGATGGTTGATAAAGGATGGAGATTTTTTGATATTATGAAGAAAGAGTACCATATCCAACCAACAATAAAGCACTATGGGTGCATGGTGGATATTTTGGGTCGAGCTGGTTTCGTTGAGGAGGCTTATCGATTAATAAGTAATATGCCAATGCAGTGCAATGCTATTGTGTGGAGAACATTGTTGGCTGCTTGTAGGTTGCACGGAAATGTTGAACTCGGGAAGCAGGTTAGGAAACAACTTTTGGAATTGGAACCAGATCACAGCAGTGACTACGTTCTTCTTGCAAACACGTATGCTAGTGCAGGACGGTGGAATGAAGCTATGAGAGTGAGAAAAACAATGCACAAGAGGGGAGTTCAGAAACCTGAACCTGGTAATAGCGTTCTGGGCAGGCATCCCAGTTTGAGGTCAGATGAGCCTCTCTTAAGTTTCTTGTGAAGCATCACTTACTGTTATGCAGCTTAAGTCTGTTCAACCGAGTACTTGATTCTGTCAGATACTATTCAGCTAATTGCACTGTTGATGCTCTTGCTAAATAGTTCATATAAGTGAAAACAATGTAGCCTTGGTTGAGCTCCTGAGTTCTGCTGGGAGGATGTGGACGTCTGGTGGTAAATTGTTGCTTTATATGAACCTGGTGGTGTCTTCTCAACCACCCATTGTGTAAGAAAATCTCTGTTAGACATCTTTGCTTTGCTGGTAACCTCATGATGCTCTGAAGGTTCAATTGAAGCTCTGTTAATTCCACCATGCAATAATTTTATTCTCTCTCAGTCCCCAAATCTACTGGTTTATAATGGGAAGGTTACCAGACAAGTATTTCGAAGATCCTCTTCTCTGTAAATTGAGTCATGATGATTCTAAAGCCCTCATTGATTAGATCACCAACAGATTGCAGTAGTAGGCATTTAAATTATTATCTTTTGCCAGAAGATTACAGTTTGTTACCTGCCATTTTCATTATTCAAAACTACTGGCCTGTTAAGTTCATTCTTCCTGCTTTTTTTATCATATCTATTGAGCAAAAGTTCAATGCGTTTTTTTGGAACTGAAGAGATGACACTGCTAAGGGGGCAAAAGTTGTTTAGGACAGTATTCTTGGTGTCATAAAAATGAAGAGGGCAACATTCCATGCTTCATGAGGAATTTGGAACATAATCTTGTTGGCAGGTTCTCGTTGGGTGGCTTGGTGTTGTGCACATCTCTTAACAGGCAGAAGCTTTTGGTGCTTATCAGCTCCTTGGAGAAGCTTGTTGAACTCAGAGTCTGATTTGGGATCAAACAGTGGACCCAGTGGTAATGGAGAGAATGTTTACCCTGTAAGACTAAGCTACCAGCTGCGATTCAAGGTGAGAAGTGGAGCTGGCCAGCAGCTGGATCTAATAAACTGGAAGCAGTGCAGAATGCTTTGTGTAGTTTAGTTCATCCTCAACCTTTGATGATGGATTGTGTTTCCTGGAATCTTGGCTCCGATGGACAATTTTCTGCAAGAAGTGCTTGGCAGTTTGTTTGAATGAAGAAGAGCAGGCTGGTATAAACTGTTGCGGGGTTCTTTACATATTTTCTGGAAACAGTTTTATCAGTCGGTTTTTTAGCAGAATAACTGCTAACAGCAAACAAATTGGAATGGGGAGAGATAATACACTATAAATTATTACATTACATTACACCATAAACTAAAATAAGAAGGGGTTGTACTGTTTCTTTCACTGTTCATGCAGATCCAAGTGCACTGTTCACTGCTAAAGTTCGCCTGGTTTGTCCCTTTTTTTTTTCTTTTTCTGGTTCTTTAGCAATTATTCGGTTGCCGAGGTTTTTTTTTTTTTTTTTCAATTTTAATCTTCTACCTTATGATCAAGTGATTTCAATCCTGATTTGGGATCGGGTGCCGGGGTTTTTTTTTTTTTTTTCAATTTCAATCTTCTACCTTATGATCAAGTGATTTCAATCCTGATTTGGGATCAAAATAGCGGACTCGGTGGTAATGGACAGAATGTTTACCCTAAGCTACCCGCTGTGATTCAAGGTGAGAACTGGAGCTTGCCAGCACTGGATCTAATAAATTGGAAGCCATGCAGAATGCATTATGTGGTTTCATTCTCCCTTAACCTTTGATGATGGAATCTTCGTTTCAATGGACAATTTTCTGCAAGAGGTGCTTGGCAGTTTGTTTCAATCCTGATTGTTATTTTTTTATATTGCTTGTGCGTTGTCAAGAAATGCCCTAGATTGATGCTCGGTTTTGGTTTTACTTAGATCTATAATTTTTAAAAATAAAGCAATACGGATTAAATCTAAAATAGAAAAAAATTTCCCTTTTCTTTTTTTGTTGATGAGGTGTGGAAAAGTACACCTTGATCCTTGAATTGTTTAACTTTTTTTCATTCTTGTCCTTATATTTGTTTCATGTTGAGTCCTTGGAATTTCAGAGGAGAGGGGATGTTGGCGGGAGATAGGAAGAGGTGAGAAAGTAGTTGGTTAACTATTTTTTATTGAAAAAAAAAAGATTTAATTTTGATATTAATAGGTTTCTCTAGTGAGAAGAATGTTATTAAGGTGTTTTTGAGCTTTCATAACACCAACCAATATAGATCAAAGTCAAGAAAGAATTTTTCTCAGTTTAATTTTATATTTTTGAATTGATTTACAAGTATTTTAAGGTTAAAATAGGTTTGTTAAGTTTCTTAAAGTATTTATTATGTATTTTTAGGTGAATAAATATTAAAAACTAGTTTCTTAACCCAACCTTCCAGCCATTTTTTTAGTGGTCGGAAACAAAACGAGCAAATAACATGCTCTCTCTTCAGTTTTTTAATTTTTTAGTAAAATAGTATTCATTCTTAAACATAAAATAAAATAAAAGAGGTTAGGTGTGTGATTCTGGTCTAACAAGCCCGTGCATGCCAGGCCTTTCTTTGTTGGGCCAAGGGTGCGGGCTTAATCTTTTAGACCAATTAACAAAGTTTTTTTTAATTTATATTTTTTTATTTTTATTGAAATACCCTATAAATAAAATACCTAGCATGATATTTAAATTATTTTTTAATTTTGGTATAGTTCTTAAATAATATTATGGGTCTTTATGAGAATGTTACCAATATCTTTTTCAAATATTATCTATCTAATATGCCAAAAAAAAAATCATGAATATTTAAAGAAGATAAAATTTATATTTCTTATTTTATTTTTTTGATATATTTCTGACTTGGTGTTATCACATTAATTAATATTTTTTTCCTTCAAACATAATATTTCCAGCCTGCTTTGCTTAGAAGATTTTAGGTTTTAAGTAATACATGGAACTTTGAGTTTACTAGCTTGCTCTTTACTTTCCTGTAAATTTGGCTTTCATGATTTCTCCTTGTAAAGCTTTTGTTGTTCTAAGCTGATTTTTTAATGGATGAATGAAATCTTTCACGTTACGAAAGATAAAAACAAAGAAACTCTGAATCCAAAAGGACAAGTCCCCCACTTTGTTCTAGACATAACACCGAGAGAAAAATCAAAGCATAAAAAATATATATATAAAAAAACCGTAGAAATATAAGATGAGAAGGTATATAAAAATCTAAAATATATTATAGGAAGCTCTTCCTTTAACCCATTATTTTTATAGTATATTTTAGAATCTAAAAGGTAATAAAATTAATTTTTGTTAATAATTAAAATTAATTCTATCATTATCAACATTTGATTACCCGTCATAAAACAAGAATTAAATCTAAAAATAGTAGTCATAAATCAATATTTTTTTTAGTAGAAAAACACTTTTAAGATCGGTAACAAAAGCTTCTGAAAAAAAAATGTTAATATTCACAAGTTGGATTGAACAAAATATGGGCCAGAAGAACTAGTTATTCATAGACCAAACTCGTGTTCAAATCTTAGTTGATAAAAAATATTTTTTAGTGGTTCAAAATATGTTTTTACAATAAACCAAAATCAAGGCTCGACTTGAAAGTGCACGTGCATATGAGTTTAATCTTGAAGCCCACTTTACTAAGGACCTCTCACTCTAAAAGCTCAAGTGCCTTTTGAATCCAATTTTAACTCTTCAATAGTCTATTTTATAAACACCAAAAAAGTTTTATTTCTTTTCTATGTGAGATAAGGTTTTTTTAAAGGGTTTTAGGTTTCACATAACTTACATTGCTATGCCACGTGTTCTAAGATTCAAACAAATAAAAAGAAGAAACAATCTTGTTATTGTTCTTATCATTAGTTACAATGGTTATGCCACTCATTTTTGAGTTTCTCATGTATAGGTTTTCTTCATCCCTTTTCTTTATAAGTGGAAAACATCTTATTTTCAGCACATATATATCTTGTAGCACTAGTTTCAACCCGTCATTGCTCAAGATTTTTAATTAAATTGACTTTGAAAATAGCATAAGATATGTTTATTTTTAAAACTTCACTAGCAAGGTGATCAACTTCAGTAATATTAGCTTGAGCAATTCTTTTCTTAGGGTTTCCTTAATGACCTTTATTTCTACAATTTGTGGTCAAATACTCAATCTTGTTGCGAATAAAGCATTTATTATTAAACTTCTTGTCACTTCTTTTTTCTTTTCACAACAAGCTTTTTATATATATATATATAAAACTTTATTGTTTGTTTCACAACATTTTCTTTTAGGGCTCCAAAAGAGTTGGCTCTTCTTTCAAATAATTTATTGTCCTTTTGTATCTTCAACCTTAAAATAAGATCTTCAATTATTATTTTATTGCATTTATATTTATAATAGTTCTTGAAGTCTTTCCAAAATTATGGTAATTTTTCAATGATTACACCCACTTGAAAGGAGTCTATTATAGATATACCTTCAGCATGTATATCAAGCAATGCTAACTAAAACTCTTGAACTTGACTTATTATAGTCCTTGAATCAACCATCTTAAAATCTAAAAATTTATTAATTATGAATTTCTTTATACTATCTTCAGCTTTATAGTTTTTTTATTTATTATTATTTCTAAAGCTTCTTATAGAGCTTTTGAACTCTTGGTTGAGCTATACACATAATATAATATATTTTTCCATCAATTCAAGAAATAGTTCTTGCATACAAAATCAATATAATTCCATACATCCACAACTGTCATAGTAGTAAGGTTACATTTATTTTTCTGATGATTTTGGTGCTTTCTCATTTAAGAACTTTGCCAAGTTCAAGATGGTCAAATGGAACAATATCTTTTATTTCTGTATCTTAAAAAGTGATGATGAAATCCTCATTATTAAAATAGTACTTGTTAAAGCAACATTAATTGACATAACCAAATCTTGAATAGAAGGAGTACATGACATGATATAACATGTATAAAAAAATAACCAGTAATATTAATAAATAAATACTTCGTTTAAAAAGTAAGCAAGTAATAAAATAAAAACTTGTAAAAAAACAACTTAATAAATAAAAATGTTTAAACTATGCAAGATAAAATCAACAGTCATTCCCTTTCTTGATTTACTTTGTTGAGCTCTATGTTTTTCATTGTGATTTGTTGAATTATCATTATTTAACTTATAAATTATATCGAATACAAAACTAGTATAGTGTGAATAATACTTTCACTATTTAAGTCTAAGAAAGATTGGATGGATCACAAAACTAGTCTCATTTAAAATCCAATCTTTTTAGATAACACTTTATACACCGTATCTATTCATCGCATTAACTTTTTGTACATATAAATAATAATGTATATGCGAGCTATATATGTAAACAAAATCGACCAAATAACTTTGATGCAAATCTTTGAGAGTATAAGCAAGATAAGTTAAAAGCATGTTATACCAATAAGATAGCATAAATTGTCATAAACAAATCAATAATTCACCCATTGGAAAATATAAATCAATAACATATATATGACATGCATAAAATCATCTAAATTGTATGGAAAAAGGTCTTGGAAGATAAATTATAATTTTACGGGCCTATTTAGAATTGTGGTAGCGGTTGCAGTTTAAAGTACTTTTTGCATAGAAATACATAAAAATAATGTTTTTTTTATAAAAATTATTTTTGAGATCAGAATATCAAAATGATATGAAAATATAAAAATTAATTTTTAGCAAAAAAATTTAAATTTTAAAGGAACGATTAATTTTTAGCAAAAAAAATTAAATTTTAAAGGAACACAGTTTCAACCATGTTCTCGAACATGGCAAAAAATAAAGATATATAACTCAACCTTCTAAAATGAAACAAATGGGAAAAAAATCATAACAAACCAAAAGATTATAGATTAAAGCATAAATAATTAACTTTAAATATAAATTATAACTTAAATTTTTAAGATACAAAAAACCTCTTTCATAATTAACTATTATTGTTCTTATTATTATTATTAATTATTATTTTTTCTCAAGATTTTATTGCTGATCACTTATGCAACTACAATATCTACAATATATATCTTAAGATCCTAACAACATCATTTTGGTTTAAATGTATTTTTAAACAAGATATTTAAACTAAAAATTATATAATTTAAATATTTCTAAAAAAATATTATGAAAGCAACTTCATTTCCATGTGAGAACTTCTACGCATAACATAAACATATGAATTATCATAGTCATTAAGAAATACTTAAAGTAACCTAGTGAACAAGTTCCATAATCTTATATTAATAGATCAA